TTTATGATATTTAAGACAAATCAGAAATAGCTCAAAGAAAATCACACCGAATGAAAAATTGGGTCTCTTCTCTCAGAAGAACCTGCTCCTGAGCAAAAATTCACTTTTTTGTTTTCAATAATTTATTTGGCTCACCCCTTGAGTTAGGGGCTTTTTTACAACTGAATTATTTGGGGTTCTGTCTGAAAACAGCCCTGCTTTAGAAACAAACTGAAGTTTAGAGAACAAGTGACGAAGACTCATAACAGATTACAGGAAAGTCCTGACATTAGAGGTGACACGTGACTCGTGCACATCACTGTTACCACTGTTACGAGTCAGAGTGACATTCATGAGTGTGTTTGCTCATCTTTCTCTCTGTTACTCAGACTGTTGCCAACATCGCTGGATGTGACAACTCCAGCACAGAACTACTGGTCCAGTGTTTCAAAGGGAAAAGTGTAGATGACATCATTTCTGCAACCAAAAAGGTAGATAAAGAGCACGATGTTTAGTTGAGTTCCTGTGGTGGAGTAAAAAAAATCAGATCAGGGAGCAACAAATAATGGTTTTGTGGAGTATTTGATGTAAATTATCCGTGCAAATCGTGTTGTTTTGATGCAGGAATCTAATCTTTACTAGCAGAAACCTGTTTGTCCACTAGAGGGCAGCGTGTGACCACCATCAGCTGATCTCCTTTGTGACAGCAGCTCGTTCTGTGTTCAGATGAAGATTTTCCTGGGAGCTGTGGTGGACCACGACTTTCTTCCGGCCACGGCTGAGCTGCTTCTCCTCAGGAAAGAAGTTCTGAAGGTCCCGGTGATGATGGGAATAACCAACCACGAGTTTGGGTGGATTCTTCCTCAGGTCTGCAGCCATTTCAGCAGGACCAAGCCACAAATCCACCCCTGCCTCTTTAGTGAGCGTTGCAGATGGTTTCTGTTTGGTGGTGAAGTCTTTGGTGTGCCGTCTGATTGCAGAGCTTCGCTCCTCCTGGATGGGAGAAAGGCATGAACAGAGAGGCGGTGCTGGCGGTGCTGAACATGTTTAATCCTTCAGGGGTGAGCTCTGTGACCCCCGGGTCACTCCTTTCCTAAGAGGACCCACTGAAGCTGCACTTTTATAGGTTTTGTTTTTTATTTGATTACACTCATTTATTCTTAATTGAATTTTAGCTTTCCTGTCACAAAAATATTTATTTTTTAGCCAAATTTAGAGAAAGCTGATGCCAAAAATCTGTCATGTACTTTATCAGTTTGTCTTTTATTGTCATTCCATAATATGCCCAGCACCTACAATCCCTTACTTTCATAATACAGGTAAAGACATTCAATAAAACTTTATTCAATTTGCTGCTTAAACAGGAAATCCAATCCCAATTCAATCCAACTTTATTTCTGGGTCACTGCAGCGCAGGACCAAAGAGCTTCATCTGCAGATGGCAACGTTCATAGCTATTCTCACCTTTAGCCAGTGTTGGGAACGTTACTTTACAAAAGTAATTGGCTATAGTTACTGATTACTTTGTCAAAAAAGTAACTCTAGATTTTATCTGCGTGTTTTTGTTGGTTTTTAAATGGTTTTATGTGTTTTAATTTTTTAAATGTTTATTTCTGCTGTGCAGCGCTTTGTTTGGTCCTTGGGCCATGTGAAGGTGCTATATAAATAAAGTTTAGTAGTAGTAGTAGTAATAGTAACTGAACTTACTTAATTTACTATAAATTACTACAATAGTGAAATATAAATGACTAATGACTGGAACACAATAAAATGTATGTCCAAATGTTTTTTATAAACCTGAATAATTTAAATAAATAAGCACTTAACAGGAGGAACTACTAACAGGAGCATTACACTAATCTAGACTATTAAAAGGTCACTGTGTGATATTTAACAAGACCCTAATCAGCTAAATTTTAAAATTGCAAATAGAAACACCTGTAAAGGTTCCCGAGCCTTTAAATGGTCTCTCAGTCTAGTTAAATTACCGAAATAAATGTAATTTTGCACAGTGTTCTAATTTTTCCAGCTTCACATAATTGTGTGTTTTTAGCAGCATTTCAGTTGCTGCTAATCTAGTAACGGTTAAATAAATAAATAAAATCCTTTAAAATGACACTAGAAGAGGCACAAGCCTGATGGAGGACTTACATTTACTAACTTGGGTCAGACCCAACCACAGAAGAGCTGAAGTTGGGTGGTAAACACACACAGGTAGTTCTAATAACACCTGAGCTCCATGACGTCTGAGACTGATGCATCAGTGTTACAGCGGGACTAAAGACATGATCAGGAACAGGTTACAGCTGGATGATCTAGGAAGGTAGAAGATCAGGACGTCTGAGCGGTGAACAGGTGAGCGGACCTTCGGGATGTCCCGCTGTCACGCTAAGAAGGGCACGGCTGCAGACCTGCAGATTCACACCTGCAGCCGTAGACTATTCATCACGTCTTCCTCGTTCGTGATGCTCTTGGATGAAAACATCTGCCTCTTTAGCTCCTGATCAGCTGATGACACCTTCAACACACCGTGCAGCTTAACGCACGCATTTTCTTATCAGTAACAGAAACGACGTTTCGATAAAAGAAGACGGTAATTAATTAGATTGCTCGTAACTGAAAAAATAATTATTTTCAGTAACACGGTTATTTCAAACGGCGTTATTCCCATCACTGCTCTGTTGGGTCTACAGCAGGCAGCGACTGAGACGGTGAGGGTCTCCGCCCACCCGGCCAATCATCATGGTGTTTGTAAGAGCGTTACCGACACCTCTCTCTCTCTCCCTGGCTGCAGCTGAAGTGTGGCGGTCAGAAAGCCTCACACTGTTGCTCAACGTTCGACAAGCACATAGTAACGCACAACCTTCCAACCCCAGTAACGGTAACGGCGTTCCAACAGTGGGAAAAGTAATTAATTAGATTATTCCGTTACCTCAAAAAGAACGCCGTTAGTAACGCCGTTATACTGAAACGGCGTTACTCCCAACACTGCCTTTAGCTGTTGTTCATCTGCAGATGCATGATGATTCCTACACATTACACTTTGCAGGAAAGGTCAGAAATCAGGTTTTCCAACAGTATCAGGTTTATTGCCATGGAAGCATCGTCACAACAAAGAAATGCTACTCTCCTCCCCCCAGAGTGAGCTCCTCTTCAGGGTGAGTTGTGATCTGTGTTCCAGATCCCAACAGCAAACAGCTTCATTGCAGACGAATACCTGAAAGATGCTAAAACCCCAGAGGAGATCCGAGATGCCTTCACAGAGATCATGGGAGACCTGCTGATGACGCTGCCCGTCGTTAAGGTGGCCGGGTACCACACAGGTCAGAGAGCCAACCATCAGGAGGAACGTTCCGCCTCCTTCGTCTCCGCTGACGGTTCTCCTTCCTCTCTCCCGTCTGGTTTTAGACGTGGGAGCTCCCGTGTTCATGTACGAGTTTGTTTACGGTTCGGACATCCACAAAGTCAACAGGCCCGGCTTCGTTAAGGCGGATCACTCAGACGACGTCGGCTTCGTGTTTGGAGGATGTTTCTGGAAAGAACACATACATTTCATGGGTTTGTAAATACAGAAACACAAGGAACGTAACAAACAAACAAACAAACAAACAAATGACCGTGTTCTGTCTTCAGGTAACATCACCAAAGAGGATGAGCGTGTTTGTAGGACCATGATGTCCTACTGGGGCAATTTTGTTCGAACTGGGTGAGAGATTTACCTCCATCTGTCCACCTTCTGCTCACATCACCAAACAGCTGTTGGTTGTTTCGTTGTATTTGTTTATTTAGTATTTTTCTGTTATTTTGAGCCCAGATTAGGATCAAGAACACAGTGGTAAATAGACTCTGAGCTGATGGATGATGGAGGTTGTATAGAGATCTACAACCCACAGTCCCTTAACCCTAACCACTTCAGCATGAGACAAAAAAACAAGTAAAACTTTAATAAAAATCCAAACAGAAGTCGGTTTTACTTCTTGTTCAGAGATCCGAAACAAGATTGTGTCGGTTTTTATGGTGGAGATCAACACATGAAAAGGTTGAACCTGTAGAACAGAATAAGAAGATGTGTCTGAATGTCTCTCCAGCTCTCCCAACGGACCCGGTCTGGTCAGCTGGCCTCAGTATGACCGGCAGAAGCAGGAGTACATGGAGCTGGGTCCGTCTCCGGTGGTGAAGCAGAAGCTGAAGAAGGACCGCGTCCAGTTCTCCACCGTGACTCTCCCTCTGAGGCTGCAGCAGTTGGCAGCCTCTAAAGCGAGCCACTGATCTCTGCAGCCCTCCATGCTTCCTGTTCTGTTGTTGTTTTGTTTTTTGTGACTTGTTGTGTCAGTAACTGCTTGTATCTCTCTTTTTCGTTTGCTTCTGTATTTTGTAACATAGCCATGATTAAAGGACATGCCTTCAGCTGAGAGAATAAACTGTCTCTAAGAGTTTTTAATGTCCCTGAGCTGACTGATATTTTGGGAAATTAAAGTTAAATGACTGCAGAAGATGTTGCCAGACAAAATAAATAAATAAAAATAATAATCAGCTGGATGAAGCAGAAAAATTAGTACGGAAAAAAAGGCAAACAAAAGAATCTGTAACTAAAACCAGATGGACAGAAGAGACAGAACTTTATGCGCACTCAGAAAAGAGCAAGATAATCAAGCTATTCAGACACAAGAAAATTATTCTACAATAAAACAAGAATAAGGATTAACTGCACAAAAAGAAATGCTTAACAAAAATATTTGGCATCAGCATGCTGAATCTCCAAGAGCGTAAAACTTTGCACATAAGAGTCTGTCTATCAGAAAATGAGAAGCAATCAAAAATCTTAAAATGAGAAAACTAATCAAAGATCTGAAAAACAAATCATTCATCATCTACTGCAGTGGTTCCCAAGGTGGGGGTCAAGAGACAGCTGGGGTCTTGAGATGAAATTTAGGAATAAAAAAAATTCTAATTATACATTTTCTTTAACTCTTTGATGCATAACGGTCACTACAGTGGACAGGTACTCAAAATTGTTATTTATTTATTTTTGCTATTAAGCACAGCTGTTGAAGACTTTATTGCATTTGAGCCCCTTCATTTGTATTTCAGCAAGTCAAGCCAACATATTTCATGTTCAGAATGCACGTTGTCCACTGAGGTGGACATGTAATAAATGATTTGTAAATTGAATGTTACAAAAAATATGAAATTTGTTACATTCACACCAAAAGATGAATGAAAAAAATGTTTTAAAAAATCATGGTTGAAGATTTCATAATTCATGCATCAAAGGGTTAAATTTGTCCTATAAACTAACACTAACAGTCATATAGTCAGTGTAAGGTTATTTAAAGTGGTTTGTGTTTTCATCACATGCTTTATAGCACAGACAGGGCAGCTGTGGCTAAGTCGTAGCTCATCACCATCATTGTGTGAATGTGTGTGTGAATGGATGAATGACACACTGTAGTGTAAAGCGCTTTGGAGTCCTTACTCTGAGAGTCGCTATACAAGTGCAGGTCATTTATCATTTATAGCCCAGCACGTAATGTTTCAGTTCACAAGTTTTTGTCTTTATTTTGTCAGAAGTCTAGGAACCTCTTTTTAAAGTGTGGCAAAATGATTCAGTAAAGACGAAAAATAAACAAAATAGATGAATCAATGTTGAATGAATGTTGAACACTGTGGTCGTGCTTTTATTTTGAAGGAATTCCACCTGCTCAGATGTCGCAGCGCTGATTGGTTGATCTTCTTGGTCTCGTCGTTGGGTTTCCCCGTCGTCGTGATCGCCCCTGTTCGCGCAGGCGCATTAGCGGGAAACCTCGCGGATGAGAGACGCTCCAGCTGCTGCGCAGGAACGGTGAGGGTCTGCCGCTGTCTCCGGTCGCCGTGCGACGGTTTGTGTACGTATAACCATCACTAACGTCATCATCTCGTTAAATGTTCATTTCAAACATTAAATGCGATCAAGAAACTCATTTTAGTCGCGCTCGTGCCTGTTTGAATGGCCCAGGGGTCAACGCGGAGAGATGTTTTGGGTTCGGGGAGCCTCAGCTGTTTTCCCGCGAACTTGTGTTGATGTGGGATCGACTCCGGTGGAGGATGAACCTCCGTGGGGGTTCCGGTGACCCGGTAAATAGCTCCATGGTCCCGCTGAGGTCCAAGCAGGGCTCAGCGTTCCAGGAAACGTCAGCTCGGTCTGTTTGTTCAGTGCTGCTTCTTCGAGGTCGCCGTGAACGCAGCATCGTTCTAAACATGAGGTTGTTTACTTCACTGGCCCCATTTAAAATCAGTTAAAATGGAGCTCGGCACTTTCTCCAAATTGCCTTGATGGACTTCTGTTTTCAGCCAAAATAAAAGCCCCTACTAAACGCTTTATGTACAGTAGACTTTACTCTATCGTGCGTGTGCGTGTGCGTGGCCTCCATATTGATCTGCATGGCTTTCTTTAGATTAACAAGCTTTTCTAATCAGTTTTCCTGTGATGCAGCAGATGGATGCTAATACTCTAAAGCTCAACAATTAGTTTTAGAAAACTAAATAAATTATGAATGTTATTTGATTTATTCATCATTTGCTATAATCTCGAGTGACTGACTTCTTCCTGTTTTGTCATTTTGGGGTTTTCTTTGTCACCTTGTTGATGAATAATCAGTGTGAGAGTTTTGTGATTAACTTAAAGACAGCCGATAACTTCCTGTTTGGGGGAACAGTCCTCGTTACAACCAGATTCATCAGCCTTAGAGGTGTTTTCCAGGTTAGGAAACTAAGCTGAATCAAATTCAGGCCATTTACCATAAAAGCTGCACTTTATCAAGCTGACTGACAAATTCAGCTTATCTTGACGTGCACATGGAGCGTAACTTCCTTAGTTTTCCCAGCATGCACTGCACGTTTGGTGTTTATTTAGTGGCTCTTTTTGCCATGTTTTGCCTTTTTACACACAATGTTGTGATGGGAGCGATGCAGTTTGGAGGTTGTGCCCTAAGCGTTGATCCTGGTTTGTCCGGTGGATTTGTGCTGATGGAACCGCTGCCTCTGGGAAAACTGGATGTTCTGGTGCTCAAACCTAGACTGGTACCAGTCCCCGCTGCCTCAGTTCCCATTAAACACTTCTGCTGCTGAATGATGTTTATATTGCACAGTATAAAATAAAATCTACGCGAGCTTCGTAAATCTGTGATTTTATTAGAGCTGAAGCATCTCGGAGCTGCTGATAAATGATCACAGCCGGCGTTTGCTTTTCATCGCCAACACCTCGTTCCGATAAGGTTGAACTTCTCCAGAAGAGGCTGCCTCAACGTTCCTGTCCACATTCCTGAAGCAGAATCAGCCAGATTCGTGTTGTTGTTTCTGGATTTTGTGGATTTGCTTTTCTTTTTTACAGTTAAAGTAAAAAAAAATACATTTTCCTTTTGAAGTTTTAACCTCGAATAAACAAAACCTTATTTGACTATCAGGTTAGAACAAGCCTCAAACCACCACTCTAACCCTTGTCCGCCATTGTTCACTTGATGATGAATCATGCTCCTGGTCAGCTCTTCTGTTTGGCTTCATCAGTCTCTCACTTGGATGAATTTCTGTCCCACTTTTCTTATTTTGCAGACATTTCCTTCTGCAGATCTAAGATCTGCCGAGAAGCAGATTATTTTTTAAGTTCTGACTCTTTAAACCAGCAGTTCCCAAACTTGTGCCCAGGGGCAGCTGTGGCTAAATGGTAGCTCATCCCCACCAGCGTGTGAATGACTGATTGTGTTGTGAAGCGCCTTGGGGGGGGGGGGGGGGGGGGGGGGGGGGGGTAGAACCCTAAGAAGGCGCCATACAAATGGGACATTTCAGCCTTGGACCAACAAAATAAAAGTCTCAGGTTTGTGAAGGAAACAAATGGATCAATTAACAAGGAGCAAAGACCTATTTCTGATGACTTAGTTGTTATTTTAGAGTTTGGGCTGAATGCTTTTTAGTTATTTTTAAATAAATGTAGTTTCTGCACAAGACCCCTCTTCTTCTGGGCTGTCCTGACCCCCAGCATCAGGAGCCGCTGCTTTAGAACATATTTACTTTTTATTTTGGCAGATTAAAGAACAAACAGCAGCGTCACAAACACACAACCAGAGAAAGCACTCGCTGATGCTGCTTCAGAGACGTCCCTGTGGACACTGATGAGGACACTGGAAAAGCCCCCAAAACGCTCAAGGGCATGAAAGGATTGTGGGATCGTTTCCTGGTCCCCGGAGGCTCTGCTGCGCCTCGGTGGAGCCAGCGGCCCGAGAAGGGAACGGCCCACTGACGTCCGCGATGCTGTGGAGAAAAGGCTGATTTATTGTTATGTGTTTGCCGCATCTGGTTCATGAAGTCAGAGTGATGTGGATAAATGAACGATGTGCAGCAGCAGAGCCTGGCTGCAATCTTCTGGATGTGTCCTGGTGGTTTCAGAGGCTTGTGGTCCTGTTGCATAACATATGTGGCTCACATGTGCAACAGAGAGGAGGTGTGATGATGATGATGATGGTGAGCTGCAAGGTGCTTCAGAACCACTCCAGCTTGAAATAATATTATTTATAATCATGTCTACATCAGCATTTGGGCTGATTTTCTCTTTTTAAATAACCTTTTTTTTCTTCGTGTTATTGTAAATGAGTAAAAATTTACAATATAAACTTTGATTTTGTGTAAAATAGATATATTTTGATATTTACGTACATAATCTGGCCCAATAAGCATATTGCTCATATTCTCTTCTCAAATGAGCCTTTTTCTCTTTGTTATTGTGAATGAATATAATGTTACTAAAAAATACACACACACACACAAATATATATCACCGCTGAGAGGTCACATTCCCTCAGCCTGGATCTGGAGGGGGTGGGCAGGATCTTGGTGCTGCTGGGGGTGGGGTGGGGGGGCTATTTTCTGCTCATGGAAGCAGAAATCCTGCAGCCTTTGCAGTCGGAGTGATGACAGATTTACTGACACTTCCAGTTCTCGTTAGCGCGGCGGGGCGTGAAGGACAGGGTCGCATTAACGGAGCCAAACTGCGTCTGACCGGTGGGTGATGGTGATCCGTGCTCCACAGCTCGCTCCTGCGTTCATGAGGACAAGTCGTGACGAGTCAGCCCCACCAGGGGCGTGTCCAGGCAGTGGCCTGGGGTAGCACATGCCACCCTTGGAATCTGATTGGCCACCCCAGGTGCCACCATACTAATTTACTTTTAAATAGGCTTTTCATTGTCCACAAAAGGCTTGGGGGTAAACCAAAAAAAGCATAACCATTGGTGCCACCCATGCACAAAGCTGTGCCTCACCTGGGCCACCCCATTTTAAAAGATCTGGACACGCCACTGAGTCCCACACCTCCAGGCCTGTGGTCCATATGTTCAGTAAACAGCATCTTTCTGTTTTTCAAAAATCAAGTAAATCTCACAAACTCTATTTAAATTCATTAAAAGCCGGAGAAGTTTCAGGTTCTGTTCAGCGTCGACCTGCGTCGACCAACGCTGGCTGTTCTTTTCTCGATTTTATTTTCAATCTGAGATGTAAGATCACGGATAACTGTGGAGAGCATTAAACATATTCATCTACAGCTGAAACGAGTGTTTTATGACTCTTGATTCTCTAAATTAATGGAACATTTGTAGGGATTTTTTTAATCCATCCGTGCAGCCCCAGACACTTCCTGTTTTTTCCTCTTTATTTCCTGCTTCTGTCTGGAAACGAGTCGTTTCTGATTACTGACTTTCTCTTCCTGCCAGTCAGAGGAGAATCTGCAGCAGACGATCACCCGCTCTCCAGTTTTCAGACTTTCATCAAAGCCATTCCTTTTTTAAATAAATATATTTAATAGCCTCCTACCCTGTAGAACACAGGAACTCTGAGTTTAACGTGAAGAAGAGCAGAAATCATGTCTCTTATTAGTGTTTTTCTGTGACAGGAAGCTGCAGCTGCTGCAGGTCGCTTACATGATTAGACTCAGATGCTGTTGGTCAAACTGGAATCAGGTTGTGAGATAATCACTTTGTTTGTTGCTGCTGCAGATTTAGGGTGTTTATGTGTCTGAGTGCTTCTCCATCTTTAAAGCTGCAGCTCAAACACACTCCTGAAGGCTCCTCAGGTTTCTGTGTGTTTTATTTTACAGTCCGAGGACCAAACTGATGGCCAAGTTAAAACTATTGATCAGTCTGAAGAGGGAACGGACTCCTGCAGGTGGGGCGTTCGATTGGATGGGAATTTGAGCTCCAGCTGCAAAGCAAGTGTCTTCTGACAGCTCAGAGGATCAGGGTTAGCTCAGCTCAGAGGTCTTCATTTGGTGCTTTTCTGCATCAATAAGCAGATAAAAACCATGAAGCATGAAGGACGATCAAAGCATGGACGTAATCTTTGGGGGGGACAGGGGGGACATGTCCCCCCCCCCCTTTTTCCAGAGTCAAGTTTTGACCCCTGCACTTTTTACCATCCAAAAAAAAATTACACTATATTAAATTGACACTGGTTGAGCTCTAGGACCAAGCGGAAGATACAATCTCAGTTATTAAATCCGTAGAAATGATAAATATTTGATATGTTGCATTTTTTTACATTAGTAATCATTTTACATATAGTTTTGCATTATTTTGGTTATAAATGGACTCTACGCAACAGAAAATCTGAGGAGCCACCTAGGAGCCGAAAGAGCCGGCTCTTTTTGGTGAGCTGAGCCAAAAGAACCGGCTCTTTAAAAAGAGCCGGAATTCCCATCACTACTCTGGACTCGGATAACATCATGTTAGAAGTAACCAGTGCTGATTTGTGCAAATAAGCATCTTAAATGCACAAAATTGGATTTTTTACAAAAAAAAAAAAATAGCGCTGTGGGTTTTGCGGAGGATCTGCAGAGAGGTGGATTATGGGAACTTCACACAAGAAGTTCAGATTTGACTGTTCTGTCTTTTTGGTTTTGAATTTCCTGTTGAAGGAATCGCAGACGTGACTGTTCTGTTGCTGCTTGAAGACTCTTGTTGGTTTTTAATGCAGGTTTGAAGAGAGACGTTTTATTATCATCGTTAAACCCGAGATAAGTGATGTTCCTCTTCTGAACAGGAAGTCCTCGGGTCGTCCAATAAAAAGGATTTAGGAGCCAAAGTTGATGGTTAAGAGGAAATCCAACAAATCAGCAGCAAACTGGTCCTATGTCTACTTTTAAATGTAGTTTTTCATTGGCTGGTTTGAAAATATGTTTAATTAACTTTATGCTTTTATTCTGTATTTAGATTTTTCACTGAAACACGCAGAACAAGCCGTCGCTTGTTTGCATTAGAAAGTCGTCGTCGTCGTCTTCCTCCGCTTGTCCGGGTCGCGGGGGCAGCATCCCAACTAGGGAGCTCCAGACCGTCCTCTCCCCGGCCACCTCCACCAGCTCCTCCGGCAGGACCCCAAGGCGTTCCCGGACCAGATTGGAGATGTAACCTCTCCGACGTGTCCTGGGTCGACCCGGGGGCCTCCTGCCGGCAGGACATGCCCGAAACACCTCCCCAGGGAGGCGTCCAGGAGGCATCCTGACCAGATGCCCAAACCACCTCAACTGACTCCTTTAGATCCGGAGGAGCAGCGGTTCTACTCCGAGTCCCTCCCGAATGTCCGAGCTCCTCACCCTATCTCTAAGGCTGAGCCCGGCCACCCTACGGAGGAAACTCATTTGGGCCGCTTGTATCCGCGATCTCGTTCTTTCGGTCGTTACCCAAAGCTCATGACCATAGGTGAGGATTGGGACGTAGGTCGACCGGTAAATCGAGAGCCTAGCTTTCTGGCTCAGCTCCCTCTTCACCACGACAGATCGGCTCAGCGTCCGCATCACTGCAGACGCCGAACCAATCCGCCTGTCGATCTCCCGATCCCTCCTACCCTCACTCGTGAACAAGACCCCGAGATACTTAAACTCCTCCACTTGAGGTAGGACCCCTCCCCCGACCCGGAGTTGGCAAGCCACCCTTTTCCGGTCGAGAACCATGGTTCACATTAGAAAGTTTTATTAAAACGCCTGAATTACACCAGAAAGCCTGAAATCAAACAAACGAGTTCCTTTGTTGTTGTTTTAAACCCTTTGATAAAATCTGCTTCTGGCCTTAAACTCATCGTTTGTTTCTGAGTCCTTATCTTCGTAATCCCAACTCCAGATTTCGTGTTCGTGAAGCGTCTCCACAGGTAGCTGACCTGCTTTTGTTGGATCAATCAAACATTTGTGTTTTCATCTCATTTTTAACCCACAGATGAATCCTTCCACGAGTCACCCTGAGCTCCGCACCCCCAGGGGGGAGACGATCGCCCCAGCCGGAGTCCAGTAAGGACGGTGTCCTCGGCTGAAACCCGTCCGTCCTCCCCGCCGATGCTCCCACACACGATCAGTAGCCTTTTGAAGTCCAGACTGCAAACATGGAGGGTGTAGCGGTGGACAACCTGATCGATTTTGAGCAGCCGTCAGAGGCCACGGTGCTCCGTGTGGAAGGTGGGCAGCACCGAGGACACGCGGACATCTTCTCACCCGAGCCTCCGTCCTCCACGGGAGTCCAGCAGCCGCCGCTGCTGCTTGAACCCGTAGCGCCTACCAGGCCCGGTTCACACCGCCGCTCGGAGGAGGGGGATGAGAGTGATGCTACGGAGTCGGCAGACAGCGAGAACGACATGGACCCTTCCTGTCACACCTGGGAGCTGAGGAGGTCGTCGTCTTCATCTGCTCACAGCGGCGAGGACGCCGACGCAGAAGGGGTGGAGAGGAGGAAGTTCATGAAGGCTTATGTGGAGAAGGTGTTTCATGGAAGGTGAGGAGCTGTTGGTGTGCGATCAGCTGATGTCAGATCAGACAAACGTAACATAAAAATCAGACACGATGTCAACATTTCATGAATAAACTGTAGAAGAAGCAGAAATGTGTCGTTTATATTTGTTTCTGTTCCAAAACCAGCAAAGACATCAGAGCCGGTTCAGTCCAACTTCCCGCGACCCGTTTAAAACTGAGATGAGAGCTGCAGGACATTAGTGACCAAACATCGTGATGCTTATTTAATAATCCCAATCACACACAGATTAACTGAGGGTGGATTATTTATTATTTCATGACAACAGCAGGACGGTCGTGTTCATCTTTCCTGTTGCTTGAACCGTTGCTCCTGCTTCAGGCTGTGTTCTTGTCTTCACATCCATCGTTGTTCTGGTTTTCTCTCCCACATTAACCAGAAACTTTAAAACACTCATCGGCTGAATCCCTGAGGGGGAAGCGGCGCTCTGACTGTTATCGAACTTCCTGTTTCTGTGTCCACGCTCGTGCCTGACATGATGACTTCATGTCTGTGCACCAAAAATGTATTTTCTCTGTGATGCAACAGCAAACTGAAACAGTGACCTCCTCCTCTCTGAAGCCACGAGCCAATCTGTCTGGAGGAATCTTTTCAGCGTCCAGAGCTTCTTAAGGACACTCCAGTCATCTTTCGTTACCTGTTCAGCTTCCTCCAACCCTTCTCAGTGCCACTAAACTGGTGAAGAAACCTGAGAAATACAGTTTTTGTTTTAACTTTTGCAGGATTAAAGCTGTAAAACTGGAGATTAGAGAGAAAACCCAGTTTTAGTGTCTTTCCGGAACTGCGCTGCTGTGGGTGGCTGCATGTTGGAGTAGCTCTGTTGACTATATGTAAGTTTAGCCTTTTCTTGGGCATTTTTTCTTCTAGTTTCTCAAGAAAAACAGTCTTTTTTTGGACACTTTACTTTTCTGTTTCTGGTGCTGTGAAGCTTGGAGGATTTTTACTGCTATTTTTTCACTTTTTGAGCATTTGTTATGATGCGTAACCATGGCAACAAGCTGGTTTACAATCGGGAGCAGCTGATTAACATTGGAAAGGGTGAAATAATACCTCAACTGAAGCCACAAATCCCAAATGAGCTAAAACGCAAGAAGCGTGGATGCAGAGCGGGAGCAACACGGAGACAGAGAAAGAGGAAATTCAAACCATCTCTTCCATCGATCATAATGGGCAATGTGAGATCACTGGCCAACAAGATGGAGGAATTCCAAGCCCTTTCAAGGACTCAGCCAGAGTTTCGGCAGTTTCGGAGCCGCTGGAGGAGATGATGCAAAGAAGGATTCTCCAGAGAATCAAGGAAATGATGGACAACCCTGAGCGTTCTCTTCACAAGACTGTCCGACAACGGAAGAGAGTCTTCAGTCAGAGGCTTCTTCAGTTTGGCTGCAACACTGACCGCTACTGGAGATCCTTCCTGCCAACAGCCATTGTAATATACAACAACTCTTTGATGACTCGATTATTATTATTATTCTGAGCTACTACAGCAATCAATTTCCCTCTGGGACTAGTAAAGTATTTTTGAAATGAATTTATTTTGACTAAACCCAGTCAGCAGGGAGGCCGTTCCGTCGCTGAGTGATGACTTTCCTGATTTTCCAGGGAGGAATTTGACCAGGAGGAGAAGGCCAAGTTTGGAGAGCTGTGCAGCGGAGAGAACGGAAAAGGCCGGGAGTGGTTTGCTAAATATGTCAGCGCGCAGGTCCGTTCATCCACACAGTGGCTTTAATACTTGCAGCACTAAATGTCAGAAATAGACACATTTATTCAACTTTTTATGTATTTTCCATTCATTACGATGAAATCTGTGTTTAGTCGTTTCGAGTAGTTTAATGTGGACTCAGCAGCTGCTGCAGGAAGACATCAGCTGGTTTTTGTTGTTTTGTTTGCAGCGCTGCCACTCCAAGTGTGTGAGCGAAGCCACCTTCTACAGGCTGGTCCAGTCCTTCGCTGTGGTTCTGTTTGAGTGAGTTGAGTTTGTCTGCGTTTCCTTCTGTTTGCTGGGTTAGGGTTGCTAAAGAAGCCGCTTTTACCACCAGTCGCTCAAACTAACTGAGCAGCAACAAACGCGGGATCCATCGTTCAAGCGCGTTTAGTATTTTCATGTTAGGTTTTAAAAACAACTTTGTAAATGACAGAAGTCAAACAACCCAGCTGTGGTTCTGTCCTCCTTCCTCTGCCATTCGTACGAGAACAGAAATCTCCCGTTTGGCTGCTCAGTGAAGGCTGAGATGTTAGAAATCCTGAGACACGTCCCTGAAATCCAGATTAACAAGTTTGAGTTTCTTTGATTTCAAGCAGCCTCGTCGCTTCGCCGCCATGACGTAATCGACCCTACGATGCGGACTTGAAAGGATGCAGCCCCGTGTAACTATTCTATACTGTCGTGTAACATTAACTGTGTGAAAACATAATGATTTTAATCATGCAGACCCGAACTCAGGGAGCCATCCTGACCTGAGCGGTCTGGGTTAACTAGTACGTTATTAGTCAGGTCAGGTGGTTTTGTTTTGGTGATTTGGGTGTTTCCACACCATCGGCTATCAGAAACTATTCTAAAAAGCTTTATTTTTCCAGATGTTACCAGATGGACGACTACACCCCGGCCAAAAACCTCATGACCATGTGCTTCACGTACTACTACATCGGTAAGGTCCTTCTGACTCCTCCACCCGTTTTCAGATGCCTATCAGGGATCAGGTCGTGGGGGCGGCAGAGAGGCCCGGTGCATTACTTTTACAGTTTTTTTGTTGTTGTTTGCGTTAAAGAACCAAGTAATGCAGTTAGAAGAAACCAGCAGAATGAATGCTCAGAAGATGTTTATAGAGAGGCCCAGACTTCCCTCTCCCCAGCCACTCGGGCCAGCTCCTCCGGGGGAACCCCAAGGCAGCATCGGTCCACCTATCGATCTCACGCTCCAGCCTAAGACACCGAGACACTTAAACTCCTCCGCTTGGGGCAGGACCTCGCCCCAGACCCTAATCCGGACTCTAGACCAGTGGTTCCCAAACTTATTTAGCCGCGCACCCCCTTCTATGTCCCGACCATGTCGACGCACCCCCCCCAGCCCCCACATCGGGGCATGGCTCTATATATATATATATATATATATATATATATATATATATATATATATATATCAGAGATATATATATATATATATATATATCTCAGATATATATATATATATATATCTGAGATATATATATATATATCTCAGATATATATATATATATATATCTGAGATATATATATATATATATCTGAGATATATATATATATATATATATATATATATATATATATATATATATATATATATATATATCTGAGATATATATATATATATATATATATATATATCAGATGTCAAGCTAAACAGAAAGGGTTAAAAAAATTCCCCATCACTTTCATTTTTTAAATAGTAATTAATAAACATTCGATACCATTACAATTTCCTTTGATTTCATTTTGAATAAATATTTAGAGAGCCCAGGTAGCACATCAACAATGCAATTTAACGGTTTTCAGGAACGTTTAACCTGTGCGGCCAGAGCGCTCTCCTTCCTTCTGCTCTGCTTAAACCTGAGCTGATCACCTACTTGTGCGTAATCAAATGTCAATAGGGGACAAGATATAGCCATGAGGTTCACTTTTACCTCAGACCGACTTATTGCTGTTTTATGGTGTGGCTGAATCTGCGATCCGCTGTCATGCGGACTGGAACAACAAATGCTGCAGTAACATGAGATGTGGTCAGGTTCATGAGGCGTCACTGGCTGGAGCGGACCCGACTCATCCCAGAAGCTAATATCTTAATTTGACCTTGAATGAAAAATAACCTCTTAAAAGTTTTTATCACGGTGGAGGCAGCGTTCATTTCTGCCTTCAGTCTGACAGCGGGCCGGAGTTAAAGCAGCGTGTGCGCTTATTGAATCTGTGTGTGTGTGCGTGCGCGCACGTGCGCGCGGCACAGCCGCTCAAGTCACCGCGTCTCGTTATCGGCGCTATTTAAACCAATGTTGTAAAATTCCTTCTGCCCAGCCCAGATGTGCTCACTTGTGCACCCGTGAGCCGTGGTTCCGCTGGAACACGTCTGACCTCTGACAGACGCACTCTGAACTTCAGATCGTCAGCGCGCTGTCAATAGCCTGAAAGGGAATCATTTCTTGTTATTTAGTTACATCCACAATGTTCTGTGTGTGAGGTTTACAACGTCAGAACACCTGCATGAGACAGGTGTTAACTACAATCTGCCAGAATGACTCACCACCTTCCGATTTCTCCAACATCGTTAAAAATGATCAAATACGGAACATATCGGCGTGCGCAGGCCAGAGTGCTGAAGCTCGGCGCATTGTTATTATGAAGCTAGGGCACATGTGGAGGACATGCGCGCGCGCAAAAATATACTTGTTTTCAATTACATTTATTGTGCCCACTTACTTTTTCTTTGGCCCACCCACAAATGAGTTTCTACGCTAATGGTGACATATGACAGACTTCTCTGAGCTCCGCAGCCATTACACTTTTCACCTTGCGCACCCCCTAGCGGCAGCTCGCGCACCCCCAGGGGTGCGCGCACCACACTTTGGGAATCCCTGCATGGTCTCAGGTTTAGAGGAGCTGATTCTCAGCCAAGCGGCTTCACTCTCGGCTCCAGTGAGAGCCGGAGACTGGCTGCACCTATAATGCTGTCCATAAGAGTTATGAACAGAATAACAGCATTTAGGACAATATAAATCCTCTGAAAGTGATATTTATTGCTGATTATTTCAGAAGAAGTAGGATTTTAGACGTTTAGGTTTTACTCTCTGATGTTTAATTTTTTTCTTTGTTGCTTCTTTGATTTGCACAAGCCCAACAAGTTGTCTGGACTTCAAGCCCAGCATGTTGTTGAGACTTGTGTTGCTGTAAAACTGCAAAGGGAACACGCTGATGTGTTTGCACCACATCGGTGCTGACTCGGGTAGTTAATCTGTGGGTTTTTGTTCTTGCAGCAACGCCACAAATAACAGCAGCATTTGTGCTTCTGCGGGCAGGAAGGAGGCTTTAGTGCATGGCTGTGACTCACCGGGTTGCATCAACATGAGTCTGACTCTGCTGCAGCATTGCTGCCGATCATCTGAATCAGAAAATCTCACCAACAAGCATGCTCACACCATGAAGAATGGTGCATAAAAAAAAACGGAAGCAAGCGCGGGTTTAGGCTTCACAATAAAAGCACCGAATGGTCCTAACTAAACACAAAATAAACATCCACTTCAGTCCGAAGCTGCTGCTGCAGCCTGAAGCACACACTCAAGCCTTTATCTGGTCAAGGTGAAGCCAAATGTTCCAGACACATTCCAGCCAGGCCTGACTTTTAAATCCTCCTCTGTCTGTAATCGCATCGAGGCTTGAGGGATCACAACTGGCGTCCTGATCTTTGAATTTCCTCCACAGGAAAGTCCCAGCCGTCTCCCTCGGAGCTGCTGGATCGCGGTGGTCCACCAGCCGGTCTGGACTCGTATCTCAACAAGGCCAACTCCTGGCTGTTGGGGAAGAAGGACGCCGCTGAGCGTCTCCTCAAAAACACCTCCAAAACTGATGTCAAAGGCTTCTTCGGAGGTCTGGAGAGCAAGCTGAGGAGCTCGATGGCTCCAAAGACTGAGTGAGAAAATAGTTGTTTATTTTTCTTTCATTTAGAAAGTTCTGATGTGGCTTTAATCCTGATCCAAACCTTCTGTTTCAGTGAGAATCAGAGTCCAACTGAGAGCAGGTCACCAGGTACTCAGTCACTTCCTTTACCTTCTGTTAATAATAATAATGATAATAATAATAATCATCGTCATCATCATCTCAACAGTGTCAGCGGCTCCAGAACAAAAAAAAGGAGAGAAGGTGTACCTGTACACTCACCTGAAGCAGCAGCCAATCTGGTACGCGAGAGCTGATGGCATTGCAGGCTGTCCCGGTTTTATTTACGAATAAAGTTGATTTGAAGTCCACCTGGTTGCCATCAGCAGCTCAGTAATCAGCTGAACACGGATAACAGGAATGTTTTCTCCGTGACAGGCACACACTGCGGTTCTGGAACGCTGCATTTTTTGACGCCGTTCATTGTGAGAGGAAGAAGAGGTCTCCGACCACCAGGTGAGCCCGGATGAACCGGAAAAGGAGAGGATTTTGGAATTTTGTTCTGTGTTTTCTGAGATTCTGAAGTGATGACTGCTGTCTCCTCCTCCCTCTCTGTGAAGCTGTTTCTCCTCCCTCTGACTCTTTAATCCTTTGTCTCTTTGTGCCTTGCTGCCGAGCAGTGGAGCGCAGGATGAAGGAAAAGACGAGAGGTCTGTTCTTCATACAGCTTCAAAAAAAAGGGGGAATAAACGCGAAGGAGGGCGAAATCAGAGAGCGATGAAGCTCCTCCGCTTTAGGCTTTAGTGGAATTTAATGGATTTGTGTTGGGTTTCATTCCTGGGGTTTAGTTCCCCTTTGAGGAGTTTCTATGAACATCTGGTTTTACCCAGTAACAGCGATCACCCTTGCATCATGATGCTGCCACCTCCATGCCTTACTGTGGCTGTGCTGTCCTTTAGACGGCTGGGGGTTTTTGGGATTTGAACCACAGGTTTTCTAAAATGATCAGACTCTCCAGCCTCTACTGTGGAGCATCAGGTTGAACTTTGACCTCTTCGTCTCAGATGATGATCAGCTGGTTTCCTCGGGTTCTCTCTGGTTTTGTGTTTGGAAAGTTTCATAACTGGAACTTTTTCAGGAACTCTGCTTGAAAACCTTCATGTTTGCTTCGGGTTTATTACAGATCTTTTTTTTTAATCTAAATCTAAAGCAGCAAGAACTACCAGCCTAAATCTGCTCCTTCACATGGAAACAGAATTCCCGGGTGTTAGTCAGATTCACTGCAGACGGTCTGCAGGAATTAAAATATTTTATCAGCTGTTCTATGTGTGAAACTGTTATTATTGAAGGTATTTTACAGGTTTTTTAGCGTCTCCATGCTTCGTTCTTCTGGCACGTTGTTCTGCTGCTTCTCTGTTTGAGGAGTGAACGCATCCTAGCTGCAGTTCGCTCGTTCTCAGTGTGCAGACCGAGCTTCTGTGATGGTATTTACATCCTGAGAAGTGAAGTCTTCACAGCTTTCTGCATGCCTGCACCGTCTCCAGCTGTCTGCATGTTCGTTTTCTTTTTCCTGACATCATCAGGCTCTGCCCCGCTCTGGCTGAATATCCGTCTTCAGATCATTGAATTTGGATCGTTCAGAGGAAGTTTTAGGTTTGGATGTATTCTGGTGAACAGACATTACATTTTAGTTACTGGACTTTGAGTTAAAACTTTTTTATTTGAAATTTATTTTCATTATTTTAAAGGGGCATTATGGAAGTTTGACAGCCAAAACATGTATAGAAATAATAAATGTCTTCTTCATACATTCTCCTGCAATGCCCTGGTCCTGTAGAATGAGCCCTGGCATTTTTACTGTGATTGCCTGTTTTTCTGTAAAATCACAGAAAAAGAGAGATGCTCGGGTCGAGCAGGCTGCTTCATGCGCGTTCACGCTCAGGCATCGCCCGTAGCATTTGCTATCCGTAGCTTTAGCAGCAGAGAGAGAGACAGTGCCACTTTGTCGCTGTTCCTAACGCCTAGTGACAAAGCTAGCTACATTTCTGAGGATCCTTAGCTACTTTCTGTAGAACTTTCTTCTAGATATTTCCTGCTAATTAGCAACAAAATAGCCATTTTCACTCCGAACCGTTCTTTGAACGTTGTTTCAGCTGCAATCAAGGATATAAACGTTACAGATACAAAGACGTCACTGGTGCTTTAGCTCACCTAGTAGGACGTCGGACTCTCGTGCAGAAGACCTGGGTTTGATTCTGGATGTGAACATAGTTTATTTAGAGTTTCTTTATTACATTAATGGTATATTTTTTTACAGTAAGATGCCCAAATTTTTATTTGAGACTCGCCAAACGGCATTGAATTCACAGATAAAAAAGATGTGGGTTCAACTTTCATTTTGGAACAATTTTTCAAGCAAGGGAAGGGAATGATGTGAGCATGCAGGAGGACTGACCCATCTTAAACCTTTGTCGGCTGTGCTGAAGAGAAAGGTACAGAACCAAATTATTTAATTAATTAGCTGCTCGTTCTCCTGTCCTCTGTCCTCCGGGCCACACACACACACACACACACACACACACACACACACACACACACACACACACACACACACACACACACACACACACACACACAAGGGACTGTCTCAGCTGTTATTTTCGTTAAGGAGCGTGCACGTACAGCATGCGCGCCTCGTGCACGAGCCTACTATTGAAGCTGCCGTTACGCTTTTGGCCTGAGGGGGCGATCCTGAGCATAAAAATTCAAAAGTCTGAAAAGTCCCTTTAAAACTTTTATTTTATTTCAGGACTTAACATCTTTTTTTAAAGAAGAGCCGCGCTGTTTTCCAGACCTTCAGCTCTTGCTGATTTGTTTCCATCCGACTCGGTCGGGTTACAGACAGGATGACCACCATCTCTGACCTGGAGAAGTTCTTCTCCAACCACGTTCCATTTGATTGTGCATCTGGTTCCAGTAGAATCACATCTAACTCGGTTCCTCCGGCTCTGGACCCGGGAGTCCCCCCGCTCCCGGTGCAGGAACGCCCCTGCAGATGGTCCAGCTCCTGCCGGTGTGTCCGCTGAAAATGCTTTTCTTTAGTCCTCATAAACAAAAACTTGATGAGCCTTGGCTGCACTGGAGGAGGTTAGGGGGTGTTTGGCCCTAAAACGGACTCAAGTCCTGGCCAATGACCCTTTTTGGACCACTGGTCCAGGTTTCATCTGGAAGAAAAAGCTCCTCCGTCACTCTGACTCTGGGCTTCTGGACCGGTTCTGTTTGTAGCGCCTTAAACAGAACCAGGGTCCGGTGTTGTTAGATGAACAAAGTAAAGTCCTTTGTTTCTGTTCCTGGTTTCAGGCATGATGTCATCTCCTGCTTCGTGTTTGTGTTGCCGTGAACGTGCTGCTTCATCCTGCTCGTGATGAAGATGATTCTCTGAATCATTTCCTGTGTTTTGCTGCTGTGGGCTGACCCATCCCTGCTCTTCAACAAGAGTTCATCCATGCTTGTGTTTTGAACGTTGCTTTGAGACGAGGCCTTTCAGGGCTGGATGTCGCTGGTATTTTTATTCTTATGGCGTTTTGACCCCCTGAGGAGGCGTGGCACTGGCTGAAACATTCTGAGGTTGTGTGTTTGAAGCCAGAACGGGCTCTTCTTCCTCTTGTTGCTTTGACACCCAGCCCTGAACCGGTCCTGAAGGACAAACTGGACTTGAAGGCTGAGAGTTGCTGTGTGCTTCCTGCAGGGAGAAGTGGTGTCACATGACCCAGGAGGAGAGAGACGACAGCTCTAAAATCGATGAGAACATCGCCTTTGGTCAGCTCGGGTGAGAAATCCACCTCAGCTGGTTCCAGAATAAAAAAAATAATCAGAACATCAGCGATCGGCCGACCGGGAACTCGCAGATCAGACTTCCAGTCAAAGAAGTCCTGTTCACTGATCTGCTCCCAACAGGAGCAGATCTACTGGCCTAGAGATAGGGGGGAGCTGGAGTCTGTCTCCAGCTGTCATGGCGTGAGAGACGGGGACATCATGGACATGTCTTCAGTCCATCATAGGGACAAACAACCACACACACCTAGATACAGTTTAGAGTCTCTGGTTAACCTAACAGGCATGTTTTTGTCTGTGGGAGGAATCACGCATACATGAGGAGGGCTCGCTAACGCCACGCAGAAAGACTGCAGTCGGCATTCTAACCTGCAACCTCCTTGCTGCAAGATGTGTGTGTGTGTGTGTGTGGGATTAAAGACGTTTTGTGTGTTTTCAGGACTTTCACACACAATATGTTGGCTTTCGGACTCAACAGAAAACTTTGTAACGACTTCCTGAAAAAGCAGGCGATCATCGGGAACCTGAACGAAGGTGAAACAATTATTTTAAGTCTTTATTTAGCGGCCATGAAAAGTTTTTATATTTGTTAAATGTGTGTGTGTGTGTGTGTGTGTGTGTGTGTGTGTGTGTGTGTGTGTGTGTGTGTGTGTGTGTGTGTGTGTGTGTGTGTGTGTGTGCGCGCGCGCGCGCGTGTGCATGCTTTTGCATGTGTGTGCGTGCATGCGCGTGTGTGTGTGTGCACGTGCTTTTGCATGTTTGTGTGTGTGTGCGTGTGCATGCTTTTGCGTGTATGTGCGTGCATGCATGCTTTTGCATGCTTGTGTGTGTGTGTATGTGCGTGCGTGCATGCTTTTGCATGTTTGTGTGTGTGTGCGTGTGCATGCTTTTGCGTGTATGTGCGTGCATGCATGCTTGTGTGTGTGTGTGTATGTGCGTGCGTGCATGCTTTTGCATGCTTGTGTGTGTGTGTGTGTGTGTTTTCTACAGAACAATACAAGCTGCTGACTGACCACATACAGAAGATGGCAGCAGACTGAGTGATGACCAGCTGCTTCCCAGTTTCCCTCCAGCCACTCGTCCATCCGTGACCGGATCTCGTTTCTGTTTTCACGCGGAGAAACGACATAATCTGATGAACTGAACTCCGTCCATCTTCATCGTGTCTCGACACGAGCAATAGTCCTCTCTGTGTAAGGACCACGGCTGCATAAAGCTCTGAAACAAAACCTAGTTGTACATTAGAAGCTGTATTTATTCTGTTTTGGTGGTTGTCGTGTTCCGTCCTCGTCTGTGATCCTTTACAGCCATAAGGACCGGTCGTGTTTTATTAGACCTACAAACCAAATCTGTTTGATTTATTTTGTAGCAGCTGTGAGAGGGATGCACCCCCTCAAAGGTTTATTCTGTTATTGTCACTATTTGTTTCTGCTCAAACTAATTTTAATCTGACAAAAGTTCTGTGTAAACAGAAAAGTCAGCTTGCAAATAAACATTTGATTTATTAGGGGATCAAACCCTCATCACTGTGGAGGAGTTTTGCCCAACCCTTCTCTACAGAATTGTCTGAATTCAGCCACATTGGAAGGTTTACCTGCAGGAACTTCCTGTTTAAGGTCAAAGGTCAGACACTCTCCTTCAGGATGTTCTACTACAGAACAGAATTCATGGTCTGAAACAGCAGACCAGGCCCAGACCATCACACTACCGCCACCGTGTCTAACTCCAGATGGACCGGGATGCACAACTTCCAGAATATTTACCCAGAAGTCTTTGTGATCATCAGGACTGATTTTGGTAAACACATTTTGTTGAATCCTGACCTCTGACCTCAACCTGAACCTTGTGAGTCCTGCAGGGCTTTAGATGAGATTCTGGATAATTCTGTTCTTGTATCTCGTTACAACAGGGCATTTTGAGATTTTTCAGCCTACTTCTTGGAATTGAGCTCATCTTCACAGATAATCTGGTTAATCTCAGTTAATTTGGGATATAAAAAGGAGGCAGATAACCATTTTTAGGTTGGTTTTGTCCCATTTATAACATAAAGCCTCATTTAAAAAGGTTTACTCCTGATACAAAGAGCTGATAATCAATTTTTAATGAGCTGAATTAAGTGACAAAAGGAGTTTATTTTCCAGCTCTGTTTGTGATTCTGACTGGTTTTTGTTTTTTTACTTCTGAAGACTCGGATCTGTATTTATGAGACTTTTATTGTGACATTGTGAGACTTCCTCCTGTCCAAAGTGCCTTCTGTGGTCTTTTCATTACCGCATATGCAAACCACCTGTCACTCGATGCACTGGCTCTCACTGAGACCTGGATCAAACCATGTGACAATGCTACCCCATCCGCTCTCAATTCACCACACGTTCTCCCACGCTTCTCGTGCTTCTGGCCGAGGTGGTGGAACGGGCATGTTAATTTCCAACAAATGGATATACAGTCAGTTGCTACTCATCACTAAATACAACTCCTTTGAATACCATGCCATCCAGGTAACTGTACCGAAAAAATTCTTTTTGGTTGTCATATATCGCCAACCAGGTCAACTCGGAGACTTTCTTGATGAACTCGACACCCTGCTCTCCTCCATTCCTGAGCACGGCTGTCCCACATTGGTCCTTGGAGACACGAATATTCACCTGGACAGTCCCAGCTCATCAGGCTTCCTGTCACTAATGTCATCATTTGATCTAAAACTAGTACAAAGTCCTCCAACTCACAAAGCTGGAAAAGCACTTGACCTCATTTTCACCAGAAACTGCGCCATAGACACAATCTCTGTCACACCGCTGCATCTTTCCGATCATTACTTCATCCATTTCAGCACGACTCTACAAGGGAGGTCCACTGCTTCCTCCCCAATGGTCTCATTCTGCCGCAATCTGGCACCCAACCACTTCTCCTCTCTTGTTGCCTCCACTCTTCCATCTCCCAGCACATTCTCTGCTTATGAAGTGAATGATGCCACCGAGTCACTCTGCTCCACACTCTGCTCTTGTCTTAACAACTTGTGCCCTTTAGCCACTAGACCTGCTAGTGCACCCTGTCGCACCCTTGGCTACATGATACCCTCCGGTCTCTACGCACCAATCTTAGAGCTGCGGAGAGGAAATGGCACAAAACAAAAGATCGTGGTGATCACTTGAAATTACATGATTTACTGCCCTCATTCTCTGCCAGCATCACTGATGCAAAGAAAGCTTTCTACACTGACAAAATTCTCAGCTCTACTGACTCAGAAACTATTTTCGACATTCAAAACTCTGCTCACCCCTCCGTCTCCACCTCCTACCAACAATCTATCAGCTGACACCTTTGCCTTATTCTTCACTGACAAAGTGGCAGCTATAAGCAAACAGTTTACTCAGCGGGCCACTCCTGAACATTCGCTACCACAAACTCCTTCAAGCCCAACCATCTCAGGCCCTACTGCTTCATTTTCCTCTCTCACTGAGAACTGTGTGTCCAAGCTTCTCACGTGCAGCCGCCCTACTACATGCCCACTCTACCCCATACCGACTAAGCTGCTCCAAGCTATTGCTCCTATAGCCGGAGCAGTCACACATGTGATCAACACTTCACTGACATCTGGTACATTTCCCACCTCTCTCAAGCATGCTCAGGTTAAACTGCTGCTAAAAAAAAAAACATCTCTTCATCCAAATCGTGGAGAACTACCGACCTATCTCTCTCCTCCCTTTTCTGTCCAAAATCATTGAAAGAGTGGCTTTCAAGCAGATCACAGAATACCTCTCACAAAACTGTCTGCTTGACCCTTACCAATCTGGGTTCAAAAAGGGTCACTCCACTGAAACTGCTCTGTTAGCAGTGATGGAATCCTTAAAAGAAGCTAGAGCGACTGCCAAATCCTCAGTGCTTATCCTGCTCGACGTATCGGCTGCATTTGACACTGTCAACCATGGCTTCCTTTTGTCCACGCTCTCTAGCATGGACATCACAGAGAAAGCACATGCCTGGTTTGAATCGTACCTCACAGGATGATCATTCAGCGTATCTTGGCTTGGACAATCCTCTACTGTGCAACCATCTTGCCACAGGAGTCCCCCAGGGCTCTGTACTAGGACCTCTTCTCTTTGCCATACACACCACCTCACTGGGTGATCATTCTATCACATGGCTTCTCCTACCACTGCTATGCAGACGACACCCAGCTCTATCTGTCATTTCCACCGGACGACCACACTGTCTCTGCACGAATATCAAACTGTCTCTCTGACACAACAAAATGGATGAAATCCCACCATCTCCAACTCAACCTCTCTAAAACTGAACTACTTGTCATCCCAGCAAAACCATCCATACAGCACAATATCTCAATCCAGAATGACTTCCTATCTCTGGCTCCTTCAAAGGCAGCTCGAAATTTGGGTGTTGTGATTGATGAACACCTGACCTTTAAAGATCATGTTGCCTCTGTTGCTCGTTCATGCCGCTTTGTGCTGTACAACATACGAAAGATCAGACCATACCTAACACAACATGCCACCCAGCTCCTGGTGCAATCTACTGTCATCTCCCGCCTCCATTACTGCAACGCCCTTCTAACTGGTCTTCCAGGCTGTACTGTGAGACCTCTTCAAATGGTCCAGAACGCAGCGGTGGCCTGGTCTTCAATCAGCCAAAAAGAGCGCACGTCACCCCTCTGTTCATTGAGCTCCACTGGCTACCGCTAGCAGCACGCATCAAATTCAAATTGCTAACGCTAGCATACAAAGTCCGAGATGGTACGGCTCCCATCTACCTGAATCCTCTTGCAAAGGCTTACGTCTCGGCCCGGCCGCTCCGGTCATCACAGGATCGTCGGCTAGCAGTGCCTACACCACGCTCAGGACCATCCAGACTCTTCTCATGCATCATTCCACAAATGTGGAATGACCTACCAAGCACTACCAGAACAGGGGCTTCCTTTTTGACTTTCAAGAAACTCCTGAAGACCCTGCTCTTCAGAGAGCATCTTCTAAACTAGCACCCTCCCTGCACCCGTCTCCCCTCTCTACTGTCCACTCCTTGTTTCCTCCTCTCCATGATTCATCACCCTGCCTCACTGCCACTTACGACTGACTGGAAATTGTTTGTTGTTGTTGTTGTTGTTAGCCTGAAGGGCAGCATGCCGACTATCACTTGTAAGTCGCTGTGGACAAGTGCGTCTGCTAAATGCATAAACATTTATCGTTGTCTCCTGCTGTGTGTGTCTGCAGTAATGTTGCTCTGCCACCATGAGGCAGCATTGTGTCTCTGATCAGGACCCCCCCCCCCCCCCCCATGCCTCTGAACCATCAGATTAAATCTGATTTTATCATGTATGTATTATATAATCTACGTGCGTGTTGTCCTGTGCCTGTGATTGTAGACATAGAAAGTTGTGACCTAAATGTCTGTGACCTGAAGCCCCCCCCCCCCCCCCCACACACACACACACACACACACACACTCTGTCACTGCTTCAGTGGATCTGTGTGACATTAAGCTGCATGCACTGTTTTCTCTCTGTGAACGAGGTTTAGTGGTTTTCTGGTTTTTGTGCAGGCTGATTGTTTCAACTCCAGTATAACCAGTTGAACTCCCAGTTTGGTCTGCTAAATGAACTGGTTAGCTCAGCATGAGCCTTTTGCACTACATTTATAATCTACATGATGGTTCTGCATCATAAGTGGACAGAACCGTTTGTGTTGAGTCGATGTTCTGGAACCAAACATCCCGTTAATAAAACGTGGATCTGATTTAAACAAACTGGTCTTTAGTTCTTCCCAGTTTTAACTCCTGATTGGCTCTGCAGGCTGAATGGATACGAGATGTTTCCTGCTTTATCTCCTTGTTTCATATTCATTTCCATCCATTTCAACAGTTGTCGGGTCATGAACTTGTGTTTTTTTACTCCTACAAGTGTAAAAACTAAACTTTGACTCATTCAAAATAAACAAATTCTCCTGAGAAGATAATAAATACAAAAGATGTGCAGATTATTCAGGAGGGATTAGATCTGTTTAGAGTGTTCTGTTCTGTTATTCTGAGGCAAGGCGTGTCAGAAGTAGATGAGGAACAACCCGTGGGGTTCTGGTTCTGGACCCATAACCTCACACAGTGTTTTTGCTGTTTTCCTCACACTTACTCGGCTAAACCTGCTCATGTTTCTGTGTTTTTCTGCACCAGTGGGGGTTCTGGGTTCTGATGGGGACAATGTGTCAGACTGTTTGAAGCCCGAACCGAGCTGCTTTCTGCCGTTTCCAGCTCTGTGTATAAATAAACATCAGTCATGCTAAGCTGGGCTCTGATTGGATGTCCTGAAATGAGCTGTGAAAGGCCAGTCAGCAGCGTCACACCATGAACACCCTGCTCCAGATAATGAATACCAGAGCCAGGCAGCAGCAGCAGAACCTCCAGGTTTCTATCGGGTCCATCACAAAGACGGAGGGCCGCTCCTAGCCTAGGAGGTTGTACAGTAATCAGAGGGTTGTAGGATAGATCCCAGCTCCTGTTGTGCTGTTGTGTCCTTGAGCAAGACACTTTATGAGTGATGTTTATTTGACATGGACACAGCAATTACATTGGACGAACCAGATGCATTGTTTAGTGTGTTAGCACACGTGCTAATTTGCAACACTTGTCCATAGAACCTTTCTAAAAAGTAGACTAAGTTTAAATAAAATACAAAGAGATCAACAATAAATCAAAGAGAAAACAGATTAAAATTGCAAACAATTTTCAATAAAAAAGAATAAAAACAATAAAACAAGGCAATTTGAGCAGCAATGCAAGACTTTAAAACTATTCATGTAGACATTGTTGTTTAGACTTTAACCATTTTTTGAGTTCTTTGTTAAAAACGTTACTGTCCGTTTCTAGTTTTAGGTCAACAGGTAGAGAGTTCCACAGTTTGGCCCCCTTTACAGAAAGAGCAGACTGACCAAAAGAAGTCTTGCACCGCGGGACGAGACAATCGCCGCAGGTGGAGGCTCGAGTGATCGTTCTATGAGAGCTCTGACGTCTGATGACCACAGTAGAGAACAGTTTAGACAATTTATCATTTAGACAATTGAAAAAGAATCTTAGAGTGCTAAAATTAATACAATTTTCAAAAGTGAGCCCACCTTACCTGCTGAAGGTGTTCGGAGGGACCGGTGGCACCTGTGCTAAGCAGCCTCAACCCTCGGCAGCTCCAGCTACATTGTAGCTCATCAGTGTGAATGTGTGTGTGAGAGTGGATGAATGACTGGTTGTGTTG